GATTATTTAGAAAGACTCAACATAGGCTAGCTTTAATTTCTGATAAAGTACAATACAAAGACAATTCAGGAGATATTATTTCTACTTTACATGAAACTACCCATTATTTCTTCATGTAAGTAACATACTTTACTATTCAGAATGAAGGTGCGTGGGTGATCAGTAAAGAGTATAATCCTCAGCTTTACTATAGACTTTGTAACATAGGAAGTAACATAAAGATGACATAAAAAGTGAAAGAATATTTCCTTAGCTTTTTTTATCCTCTCACGTTAAGAACATTGTACTAGAAAGAAGCACTTGACTGCTGGGTCTGATCCCTACTAACAGTGGAGATCACGCTGTGTAATCCTTTTAAGGAACTGGCCAAGCTCCACATATGGAATAACACTGTTTCTTGCCATGCGTTTTGCTCTGCACTGGACACACCTGATGCATAGCAAGATCTAGCTGAGAAAGTGAGAAAATACTACTTGGTAAGACTTCTAAATGCTTGGTATCTGTTTACCAGTAATATCAATTTAGACCAAACATTTAAGATGGAGGTTTGTTCTGTGGCGCATTTCATACTTCATTTCAGGGCTGAAGTTCAGTCCCTTAGTAAACATGGAGCTGCATGAATAATGGAGATGCTTACGAGGCACAAAACAAATACTCAAAATATTTAGAACTCTGTATGTAAGGATAATGCAGAGATTAGAAAATAAAGAGAAAAATATATGATTAAGGAGGAAGAAAAGAGGTAAATGTCACTTTACATGTAATATGATAAAATAATTATATCTTAATTCCTTGCTTTTTCTGGAATCTCGGTATTCAGAAAAAGAAGTCCAAATTTTAAAAACTGTTTCTTATTTTCATTTTGTGCTTTTGTTTATCACACAAGTTTAATTTTTTCATGATATATTTTAATGTTTCCTAAACCGAATGTAATAAGCAAGCATGACATGCTTTGTTCATTAGTTTTCTTTCCCCAAATAAATGAAGAAAAAAAACATTCCTTTTTCTCTTAGCATGGCCTGATTCCATTGACTTAATTAGTGCTATTCCAGATTTATAGGTGTTAATGTGTTTATTTTCTGATAGTGTTTAGAATAGATGTTAACACAGCAGTCACCATTTTCCTCTGTATTTAATATGTCTGATTTTGTAGTCAGAAGTTAACTTTTCAATCTCACTTTACTCACTGTGGAACCTTTCATAATGTTCTCTCTCTTTTCTCCTCAAATGTCTTTCTTCGCAATTTATAAGTCCACCAAACTTCTTGAAGTTTATTTACATCTTCTATCTGTCATTTCTTCATTTCTCTTACTACTTTGCCAAATTTGTTCCTGATTTTCCAGGTTTCAATAAACAGATTTCCAGGCATACACAACTGAAAACTGTACACAGGGAATTCTATTCTGTTCAGCCTGTATTATCATCAAATCTCAGCTTGTTTGTTCCCCTGAATACATAAAGCGAATTCAGATTCTCACAGAAAATAATAATAATAATAGTGATAATCAAGTGATTCAAGAATCATCTACTATTCATAGGTAGAAGGATGAAATAGCCCACATGAGGAAATACAAAATGGCGTTAAACACTCGAATGTTGCCCAGGATCTTTCAGAAGCCTGGGGTTTATTTAATGTACGAGAGAAGACAAAAGACTCATGTGTTTGTTTTTTCTTTATCTTACTGCATAGAATGCAAAAGGACTTTCAAAGCATTAAGATCTCTTCAGACTGCACAGCATGAGAGATGACTGTTATAACTGCCTTGCCTTTTTGGTATTATTATAAAATTCAGAACTCAAGAAGATGTGAAGTGGTTTTCTGAAAAGACCTGCTGCATTAGACGTCCAGTTCATATTTGAGGCAGACTGAGTAAGCTGGAAGTTCTCCAGTTTGTCTGTGAATTTGTTCAGATCAAAACAATGGTCATAGAAAGGGAAAGTCACTGAGAGAGATTATTTAATTTGCTTAACTATTAAAATAATGTAAATAATGATATTGTTACACGTAATTTCCATTCAGTGACCCCTCACATGTGTTTGGAAGATACCGGTATCTTACTAACCTCAAGAGACACTGTAGTTACTTTGGGCTGTTATCAAAGAATGTTTAAAAAGTTTATGAATGCTAATTCAAGGCTCTACTTTAACTTTTATTGCCAATTTTAAGACACAAACTATTCATTAATGTAGTTAAATTGGTCTTAGCGGTACAAGGTATTGACAGTCCAACACTCTTATGCCTACTCATTCACTGAGCACTCAATCCAAAGCCAAACAAGAATAAATAATAGACTCAAAGGAGAATCATGAGGATGTGAGGGACAATTTAATCACAAGGCCCAGTCTCATTACCCCTTGATGTGTTTTGATTCTTAAACATGCAGGTAGACCTGTGGTACTATCATTTGCATGTTTCACCAAATAACTGCATTTGTCAAATACACCTTTTCTGTGACTCCGTTACACGAGAAATTAATAAAAGCACATTGACTCTATTAGCAATGTGTTTCTCTTCCTTGAGCTTTATCGAGAGTTATCGCGCATTATAGTTTGGTGACAGTGCTAGAGAAAAGTGAAGACAGAACTGACCTCTCATAGCATTTTTGTGACCATGGGGCTCACACAAGCAGCTTGGCATCTGCCGGCACATCTTTAGCGAGTTGGCAGCCCCAGCGCCCTTTGCAGGTTGCAATCAAACCTGCCTTCTACAGCAGCCTCTTTCTGGCTGATTAAGTTTAATGTAATTTTAATTAAAAACCACAGTGTCAAAGGGTTTAGCTGCTCGAGAAATGAGCACAGATTGTGGCACAGTGGCAGCAGTCACTTGGAAAATGGAAATGCATCCTGACAATATTGTGTAGGGGCCAGATAAACAAAGCTGCAGCTACTGTACCTTGCAAAAAGCTGGGAGAGACCATCATTGCAAGGAACCTTATTCAAAAATATAGAGCAGTTCTGGTTCTTGTCTTTTAGCAATTTTAAAGCACATCTCAGCGACTCAGTAGAGTAATAACTGCCAAGCATTAAAGTCAACCTTTCCTCTACATTTTAATCTTTGTACAGTGAGATATATAAATCTAGGTTTCATTTTCAGTCCTTATTTATTTTGAACTGCAAAAGATTTACTTCATGCAGTAGGCTAATACAACTTTTCTCCTTAGGCTATAATGAAGAAAAGTATCCTGAAACGAGAAATTTTACCTATGCTGAAAGCAGGGAGTGTTTTGTTTTTATCTGCTTCCAGCCTTTCTTGTCCCTTGAAGCAGATCACAAGGAGATTTTAATACTTTACATATTGCAGATATTGAGCAACATTTGGAGCATGACCAAAAAAATCACTCCACTGACAAAAGGTTGCATCGTATTTGCAATGTTCAATTTCAGCAAGTCCAAGCATACATAGAGATATTGTTAATAGTAGTTTCCCAAATAAGTATATTTTATTTTCTTAGCTGCCGTATTTCTAAGTAAAGAAAATTGCTTGGAAGTTATTAAACACCCTTATCTTGGCAGAAAGTGTTAGTTTTGAAACCTGTCCTTTGAGTCATATATTTGTGAAATGAAGATTTGATCCAAAGTCCACTGAGATCAGTGGAAAATCCCCAATGAGTTAGGCTTTGGATCAGGTCCTGAGAAGTATACAAGAAAATAGGTAGGTACTGCAGCAATATTATTCACAGGAATTCCTTTCAGCAAGAAGCCTTTTTATAATTTGTAAATGCTACCGATTCTCCGGGGCCAGAACCCCAGGAGAATTCCATCTAGTGACGTCAATTCTGTAGAGGAGAACTTCCTCCGTCCCCTTTTAGGTTTGTGGGACATTTTTGAACAGATGGAGCCTATATAGGTGGGATGGGTTCCATCTGAACAGAAGGGTCACAAATGCACCGACTGAGAGGATAGACAGAGCTATGGGGGAGAGTTTAAAGGAGTGGACAGGGGGATGGGAAGCCTGTACAGAATCCAGCAGAGAGGAAGAAGCAGCTAAAATAAGCAGATGGGTAGACAAGGGGAAATGTTATTAAGGACTGAAATATGTAACGCACCTGCAGAAAAGAAATGAAGGTTGAGAGAGAAAATCAGAATATAAAACTTCTGTTGCAATACAGTTAGGAGTCATAGAAGAGACTTGTTTAAGTAATGTGTAAAAGAGATCAAACAAATAAAGACCATTTTAAAAATAGTAATATTTTACTGTAATATTTTATGAGGACAGTGTAGTGTAGTAGATGCTGGTACTAGAATGTATTTATGGACATTGAAATTGCTTTGATACCTAGGGGGCAACATGATAGAAAGCTCAGTGAAGGCCTGAATTAGGCCTCATCTATTACAATTTACTGACAAGTGAAACACACAGGACATGAATATATGAAAGTATGATGCACCTTCTTCCCCCAAAGAGGACAATGGGAGCACTGAGGAGAAAAAAGATACAGAAAGAAACCGAAAGTACATCACATCACAGAATCTTAAATTCAGAACACTTTAGAACAAACAAGCCGGTGGGAGGACATAGAAAAACAACTGAGTATAATTAAATTTAATAGGAGATAATTTGCATAGTTTGATTGAAAAACAAAAACTGAACTTCATCAGTACAACTGAAGACATGTTTCACTTCCAGTTACATTGGCCTTGGCTCTAGATGGAAAGGATTATTGAATATATTTCCATTGACCTATGTGTTTACATACTTGTTTAAAGAGGACTTTCTCTCACCTTTAGCCTAGCATCACTGTTATCTCAAATAAAATTTAAATAAATGTACCAGCTTTTATTTAGTAGTGGTTATAATGTGATGATAAGATTAACTTTTTAGTACAATTTCATCAAATAGAGCACATCTCCCATAAAGTAGCCATTAAATCTCAAGCTGTTTCGTATTAAGCAATGCTACTGTCCCCAACACCTACTACTGTCACTTTATAAATAATAGGAAATATTTTGTTTGTTTTTAAATACTTTTAGCAGAAAATATTTATGACTTGTCATTACAGATGATTCTGAATTATTGAAACTTCAATCAAGCCCTAATGTAATACTTGACCTTACAATGGATGAGAAGAAACCCAGATCAAAGCACTGCCAAGAATTCAAGAAAGGTAAGATATCTTCAATCATTTGTAACACATTGCTATGTGCCTAAGAACCTTTTCCATGTGGTTATTATCTCAAAAATTCTTAGGGCACCAGAAACACTCAGCTTTGCTTCTCAATTCTCTCTGTGCTTGTGAACAAAGTTCTAAGGATATTCCGTATGGAAACATGCAAGTGGTGCTTTTATGATCACCAAGGGAAGATGTTTCCCTGAAGCCTTTATATGTTTTCAGGAAAATTCTGAGCATCTGCCTGGAGCCTATTTGAATCATACATGCAGTTCACCTCTACAATAAAATCTGACTATGAATCTAAAGGAAAATGCCCAAAGGGTTACATGGCACAATATCAGGATACATACAGCATTTCATTGGCATGCGTATAATCTCGTTATTTAAGAATCTAGATTTAGATGCTTACATGCAATTGTTCAAATAACTAGTTATGTGGAATGAAGCAGTGAGATAATTAATAACAACAATAGGTATTTTCAAATTCAGAAATGTCAAAATATTTGGCCTTTAAATCATACCAACGAGGCATGATACTATTACCTCATAAAGAATGCTGCGATAAAAATAGATATTTAATATCCTTTTTCATCTTGTTATTATGGCTAAACAAACACAAGCTGTAACTACTAACATTGGATCCAAAGAGGATTAGTTGTATAGCTTTCTCTCTTTCTACAACAATAACAAAAAGTTGGTAGAAGACTAAAAAAGTGCTTACTATATACCATTTTTACAGGCTTTCTAAATTAAATTAAAGCCACTCAACATAGCAAAAGAGCCCTCAGGCGTACTACTACATACTACTTATTTTTCAGTATTAAATATTCAGTGTTTTTCTTTTTAAAAGCACATTTTTTACAATTGTAATAAACTTCCATGCTAAATCATATTTGGGGTTGCATATAACCTTGTTTTTATCTAGGTTGTCAAAACTATGCTTTTCATATTCATCTCTATTTGCAATATGTAAAAGACTGAGTAGATTTGGAACAAATTTTCTAAGCAGTGTTTTCTTCCTTTATTGACTCAACATGTAAATTTTCTATTTACAAGTAGAAGAGTGAATAAATGGATATATTAGTCCAGGTAGTTGCTTTAGTCTCATGAGCATTCACAGTACTACTGAGCCATTAGATATCTATTTCTGTTTGTCTGCTCTATATGTTACACATATTCTCAGCAGGCTGACAATCATTCCAGTTTTCATAGTGGAACCAAACACAGGTACATAGAAGTGTAAAAACCTTTAAATACTAATATTAGGACAGTACAGTGACAAGATAATATGGATTCCTAAGTTTTTGAGTCAAAATTGACCTTTGTGTGCACAGTGGCTAATTTCAGTGAGGACGTTATGGATCAGTTTGTCTTCTGATTTCCTCTAATTATCTCACAGATACTGTACCTGTGGGACTCTTAGGAGCAGTCAGTAGTGTACTAATTACCATCTTTAAATCAAAAGGCTTCTAAACAAGCAAATGTCTTGGTTATAATCGCACATATGTTTATTACAGATTGTGTACTCTTTTTACAGTTGGAACAAGCAAGGATTTCAGTAGTGCAGCTCTGCTGTCTTTTGCAAGGACGTGAGTCCTGAATTTTGAAGGTTTAATATATATCTGAATAAATTAATAGTACTGCATAAAGAACCTGGTGAAACCCTAGATTACCTCATTGCCAAATTTCAGTTTCCAGATGCAAGAAGCAGAATGCTTCAGTAAAAGCTCTTTCAATACTTGTATGGCTATTTTATTTTCAACTTTCAAGTTATTAAAAAATCCTGCCACTATTCTATTCAATCAGAAAATAAGTTTTCTCATTAATTATTTATTCATTACTTCAACGGTGCATTTTTAAAACTTACATGATACTGAGTTCCAGCTTTCATGGAGCAGCAAAAGCCAAGGTACTGCAGGCCAGCAAAGCAGTGACTATTTCAGCCAAGGCCTATCCCACTGCTCCCACTGGAGCTCCGAAACGATGGTCAGGTCAAGAGCTGAGATCACCAAGCAAGTTCACAGAGACGAGGAAGGTCTGAGGACAAGCCAGTTAGTTAAAAGGCAGGACAAGTTCAGGTCCTGTGGTTGCCTAAGAGGTCTTAGGTCAGGTAGGGAAGTCCACAGACCAGGACCCACTGTCATAGGTCCCATGGCTGTGGCTAAACCACTGTTCCATCACAGATCAAACCTCAGATCATGAGTGCATGTGGAAACAACATTTGATGCAGATCAAGGCCATTAAGTCCTTCTAGAGTTCTAGAGTGCCCTCATACATAGATCTGTACCTGTACAGAAGTAGCTATGAAGCTCTCAGTTTCATATGAGCTGAAATTTAGCTAGATATATAAAGCAGGTTCACTTAAAACCCTGTCAACTGTATCTTCCTCTTGCATTTCCTGCTTAGGCCTCTCTCCTATTTATCTTTGTCCATTTACCCTGAGCATTATTCCATCAGTGCAAAAGATAAAGGGAGACCAAAGTACGTGACTTTTCTCATTTGCTATTGATTTTACTTACAAGGTTGCAAATTTAGTGGGTAACGATGACTGTTGGAGACATAAGGCGTTGATAAGAGCTACACTGGAGTTGTGTAGTGAGCTTTGGGGGCTTGATGCTTTTGGAGATTTTGGAATCTACAAAGAACAGAAAAGATCCAGAGAGCATCACAAAGTTTCAGTATGCAGTAAAAGAACAGATGTTCCTAATCAAACAGTAGCCTAAGTAGGAAGCAATTTATGCTGCTGCAGTGGATTGAAAGAGAGTAAGGGCAAGAGAATTGCCTATAGATCATAACAAGAAATACAAAGGCAGAGCTGCTCTCTACAACACTGGCACGTGGATCCAATCCTCCATGGTATTTTAATAAACTAGATATTGTTAACCTGTGTTCACATTTACCTTACACTATTCTGGCAACTGGGTACAAAATATTGTTGATTTTCATATATAACTACTGATTTTACTTGGAAGATACATTTTCAGTGCTGTTCAGTGGTAAACTTACCCTTTCTCAAGAAAGAAAAATACTCTGGCTTGTCATCCTCAAAAGACTGTTGACGTTAGGCCTTCTATCCATTTGCAGCAAGTAGGGAGAAATTGCATCATCCCACTAGAAAATGAATATGGTTATTTAAATCTTTCTTCACTACTGGCTTACTCTGAAATTATGATTAATTTGTTTTCATAATGCAAATTCATGAAGATAAGGAAAGACATGGACACTTTTATGAATACGTAAAGCCAAGCTCTCATTCACAAGTTCATATCTATCTTAATTTCCTTACCACAAAAGAAGTTGTATAGAGGATAAATCAGTACAATGATTTTATTTGGTGCATGCGTTTTTTGACCACTTCTCATTTTGGAGTGAAATAACAACATTTGGAATCAGAATCCTCTGGAAGGGTGGAATTTTATTATAGTAGCAAGCATTGAACAATATCAATGCTGTATAAAGTAAAGAACCTCTCCAAGGATCTTTTATCAGAATTTTGATCTGCAGTGTTGGCTCTCACGCCGTCCGATTCAATTCATCTGTATTCTGCCATGATCTTGATGTGCTCTGAAATTGCACCAAAGTATAGCTGGTCACAAATTTCACACTTACCACTTCAGACAAGTGAAAGGTCAAGGGCTTACAACAGTTGTGCAGCTCCTTATCAGTACCACAAAGCACAAATATCATGGAAGTGACTGCAGGTCAGATCAACTGTAATCTATACTAACTATAGTGAGCCTATACAGATCTCTCTGAATTATATAGTGAAGTACGTATGTTTGAACATTTAACAATTGTTTTGCTTCTTAAAGTTCCATTAGAACTAGCAAAATATAATGTTTTTATATATTTTCAGGAATATAACAGTTTTAAAATACTGTTGAGTATTTTAATCTTTTAAATTCTTTAAAAATCTTTTAAAAGTGGGATAGTTCATTTTCCAGTTTTGAAATGTTGTTTGTCTCTTAAATTAACTGCCATGTTTTAAGAGTTATTTAAATATATGATGATCATCAAAAAGATCATAAAAAGCATCATCTTTGAGTATACTACACATTTTGTTTTCTAAAATTGAGACTCAAATTAAACATCTGATTTTCTTCCTCATATTGTTTACCCAACAGTACAGTTCAGCACGAGTTTATTCTTGATTAAAAGAATTTGTTTTGTGAATATGAAAGGCTTTACTTTGAATATCATAGAATGAATGAGAGAATGGCTTAGATTGGAGGGACCGCAAAGCTCATCTAGTTGCAACCCCCCTGTCATGTGCAGGATTGCCACTCATTAACCAAGCTGCCCAGGATCGCACCCAACCTGACTTTGAAGATTACCAGGGAAGGGGCATCTACTGCTCTCATATTCCTGTGATTGTCTCTGTGTGCCTCCTCTGGACGGCTTTGCATCCTTCCTGTTCTGAGGGCTCCAGACATGGACACTGTACTCCAGATAGGGCCTCACAAGGGCAAAGCAGATGGAACAATCATCTCCCACACTTTGCTGGCCATCTTCCTTTGGTGTAGGCCAGGGTGCAGTTGGCCTTCTGCTCTGCAAGAGCACACTGCTGGTTCATGTCCAGCTTTTTGTCCATCAGGATCTCCAAGTCCTTCTCGGCAGGGCTCCTCTCAAGGAGCTCTTCTCGCATTGTGTGCTCATATCTGAGATATTCTTGTTTTCACTTCTAGCGGCTGATTAGAATTAGTTTGTTAGTCTAGTAGAGATTATTCGTTTCATGCAAGCAGTTTTGTAGCTCTTGTTATAGAATCACAGAATCATAGAATTGCTCAGGTTGGAAAAGACCTTCAAAATCATCAAGTCCAACCACAACCTAGCCATACTACCCTAACTCTAACAACACTCCGCTCAGTCACGTCCCTAAGCCTGTCCCTAGACTATTTTTAAACACATTCAGGGATGTTAGCTCAACTACCTTCCTGGGGAGCCTGTTCCAGTGCTTAACAGCCCTTTCAATAAAGAAGTTTTCTGTTTTATCC